GAGTGAAAGTTGAAGAAACCAGACAGTTAATTGGTGAATTAAACAACTCTTCATTTTAAGAACACATCACTTGCCAAACAGCAGAAACATTAAACAAATCTGTAAGCTGCCCGGTCTGCAACACGCACGCGCACTCGCGCAGTATTTAGTGCGCATGCATGTATCATGCGTAAAGCATGAACATTGATCGCACTTTTGTTAAAATTATATCGAGGAAAATTATATCGCGATAATTATCGTTATCGTATTATCGCCAGGCTCTACGCCTGCGGTTGCCTTGGCAGGGCCAGACCAAATGATTTTCGCGGGCCGGACGTTCCCCACCCCACCAAGGATGTTTTTTTTAATTAAATATTTGTCGTTGTCCGGGATGTGTGAATACCTGTTGATTGTCTTTAGACAGATGATGTGATAAAAAAAAGTTTTTCATTATCTTTAGGACTTGACGGTAAACACCAGTGTTCCTTTATGTACATCTTGTCGGAACTGTTTTCTTGAAGTGTGATTAAATGGATGTCGGTATTTCGAATTACCCGCAGGTTTTGAACTCATGAATTTGTATATTAGAGACCAGTGATGTGCGGAGAACTGAGAGATATTTTAATGTAGGATAACATAACATCACTTTATTAGCCACATACAATCTCTTGCATTAGGAATTCGTCTTTTCGCATACCCCAGCTTGCTCTCCATGAGACACACAGACAGGAAGAGAAGCTGGGGGTCAGAGCACAGGGTCAGCCATTGTACAGCACCCCTGGAGCAGCTGGGGTTCAGGGCCTCGCTCAGGGGCCCAACGGAGTAGGATTCCTCTGCCGGCCGCAGGATACAAACCAGCAACCTTCCAGCCACAGTGCTACTGCCCCGTGTATGCGCCCAGATATGGATTAATGATTAGTGGGGGACAAGTTTGGCGGGGACGAGTCAAAGTCTGTAAAAATACGACCCGTTTTGGTTTCCTGGTCTCCCTGCAATAACCTGTAGGGTTCACAGCCTGCCGTGTGCTGTTCCATTTTTTTCTTCTTAGAATCGGATGCAAATGATCCCAGATGCCTAAATCTGCTAATCTAGATGTTAACTTCACAGATCATTTAACCCCCTGCAGCGCACCAACGCTCTCGAGGCGGCGAGTTTGTTCAGTGTTTAGTTAGCTCCTCCCCACATGCGACTCGCGAGAAACATTTTCTAACTAGCGAACCTTCAAAGCGGATGCTTTACCCCGTTTGTATTACAGCAGGCAATTTTCTTTTTAATTTCAGGTTGCTCAAGACTGCGATGCCTTTTAGCTGTGCAACTAGACGCTGTTTGTCTTTGCAGGAGCACATGGCATAAGTGCAAACTGCAAAAACAGATAAAGCCCTTAATGCATGAATAATAGTCGTTGAATACTGTTCTTCTTTGGAATACATCCATTTTACCGGGCAGAGTGGGCAACTGTACCATCGTAGCCACCGTAGCGGTTATGAGCTGTGAGGAAAGGAAGACTTTTAAGACAGTTTCTCAGAATACTTATTAGTTTAATATACCGCATACATTTTACACAGTTTAATCCAGCCAAAGCGAAGAACAACATTTAATAAAGAGTACAAAAAGAAAACAGTGCAGACGTGTTATTTTAATCTTACGTTCCTGGCCAGTCACAGACTTGACAAGGGCACAACTGGCAAACAGATTTGGGATTCGGGAAGGACTCCATGACCTGCATCTTTTGCAGGAGGTAGGTCAAGCAAACTTTCAAGATTGGGCGTCCATCCCAAGCCAACCCATACGGGATCTGTAGTCTTGCGAAGATCACACAGAGGCAGGGCTCCTGTTGTGTTATCGCTACTGAACAGTATATCGGGTTTATTTTGGAAATCCCTCTAAAGTTTTTCATGCAGAATTGATTACTTTTTTTCCCTTCTCCGTGTGCCCTTGTCCGTGCATCGCGTTGTGCGATTTGAAGTCTGTTAAACCTTGATATCGGATCGAAACACGGTCATTCCGGACACCTGGTGTGCTAAGGAGTTCTGATCCGTTTTGAACGGAATACCGTTTATCGGGGGGTGATGAATTTCAATTACTAGTTTTCCGTTAAAAAAAAAAACTAAACTGGGGCACATCGAAATGACAATGTACGGCGCTCCAGTACGGCCAGGATAGAGGAATGAGTCAGAATTCCATGGGTTGATCCCGAAAAGACGAGACTGTTTGGTCATCAACTCATTGTGCATTGCAGCAGACAATCACAGCCTGCTCTGCTAAGACTGGTTTGGGGAAAGAGGAAATTTCAGCTGGACTTGTCAAGGTTTAAAACACACAACCTATATCCCTGAGAGACCCGTTAGTGTCTAGAGTATTATATTATAGTCTGATTAGTAGATACTGCTTTCCTTCTATAAGTTAGTTTTAGATTAATCAAGAGACACTTTTTTTTTTTGGTAATACGGCTTCAGTACTTTAATCCTCAGAGCCTAAAGTTTTGTTCTCTTTTTTTTATGTGCCGAAATGATGAGCCGTATTGCTCACAGTGACTAGTGCATTTTGTCTTTTCGGCTTTCGGTGGGTTTCACCGATGCCGTTTCTGCTCAGATAAGATTTTACCTCGCGCATAAAAGTGCCTCTTTCATAACAAATATATCTGCGCTTTTATAAAAAGAAACGAGGACGGTCGATCAGCGGCGGGTCTCAAAGGGGCTCGCCAGAATCGGCGCTGATAATCTTCTTCAGCGTCCGGGTAACTCTGATCCTCAGAACTGCACCCCGACGAGCAGCCCAGCTACCAGGACTAACAGCCCTGCGGAGAGCAGAAACAACAGAGAAATGTCATCTTCTGAGTGTCATGGACGCCGTAGTTGCTTCCGGACACGATTCACCAGTCCCTGCATAAAACCAGTCTGCAGGTAAACAGACGTGGGTACAGCTTTGTCTTGCCTGTCAGACTTGCATTAGCCCGAAACTCAGATTCTGGGTGTTAATGTACACCAACAAACAGGGTGGATTCACTGTGCAGTTAAAATGTTCGACTCCAGGCTCGTTACTAACGAGTGTAACGCATACGGCCGACAATACTGGTTGTGCGTGCCGGCTTGCCAGCGCGGTGATGTCACCGCCCTTCCCTGTGAGTCGCAGGGACCACAGCCGCCAGGTTGCGGGGAGGTCTCCCTTTAGCTCAGCTGGCTGGGTCCCTGTTGAGTGATGCTGGAGGCCCGGGTTCAAGTCCCCAACGGTGGTGGTGGGGGGATGACCTGACTTGAGGTGGCAGCAGTGAGGGCGCATACCCACCCGAACCCAAGAACATTCCACCTTGTTTCTTGGCAGCATAAAAAGAACCCTTGAGATGCATCACTTGACTCGCAAGGGGTCTTTTTAGAACGCTGGTGCAATATTGATACATGCAGTGAACGGACGAAACGGAACATAGGTGTCACAAATTGAAAAAAGAAAAGCAAACCCGCGGTAAATCGAAAACACGCACAGTACAGATGCCATATAAGGTATCTGGAATAAAAGCTATCATGTTCCTGAGTGTATTTTGATTCCAGTGCCCCAAACAATTTCACTTTCAAGCTCCTTTGCGGGTGAGGCCCACGTCCCTCGGGAACTCGGAGGTGAAAGGCTTGAGGATGCTCAGATCATGGCCTCTCCTCACCCTGGACCTCCTCTCAGTTGCCGTTCGCTTGTCTGATGGGGGTCTCCAGACGGTTCCCGCGGAAACCGCGGAACCGGCCTGCACAGCAGGACCGAACGGCTTTCCGGCCCGTCGCACGACCCGCAACGGCTCGTGCACAGTCCCGCGAGGGGAGCCGGGGCTCCTACTCCCTGTACCGCCGGGACGACACGCAGCTTACCGTGCATGGCCACGAAGGCAGGCCTGTTCCCACCGGAAGGAGCAGTGGTGTTCGTAGAGTTTGTGTTCAGTAGATTCACTGTGCCGTTACTTTGAACTCTTAATGTTGCGGTCCCGAGTTGCCCTGCAGATTGAAACACACACCTCATGAGTCTCCGCTCTCAGGCACAAGGCTAGGTCGGTCCAGGATGGGACGCAAGTCCGTCCTGTAGATATCTGGCTCCGGCCTGGGGTCACGGATCTGGTCTCCTGACCTGGCCTGAGAGAATTTCAGAAGGGACATCTGCTGTTGTATGTGACACCGCAGAAATAGCTCAAAGGCGGGACAACATCTTCAAGAATTGCCACTGGACCATAAGTAGAATGTGGGCTCTTAAAACCCCATTCGTGGTAATAAAATGGCTGGACTGGGATTATAAACACCTCTCTAAAACCGTTGCAATTCGGGGTGCAGTGTGGGAAATCCACCTTGTGTACCTCTCCTCAAACTCAATTCAAAGACTCAGGTACTTTAATGGCAGTCAGACTGTCCTGGAGATGGCATATAAAAGCATCCTGGCATCTAACATGACAGCTTGGTATGGAAGCCCTGGGGTTGAAAAGCAAAACCAAAGACACATTTCCACAGCAGTGGACAGCAAAGTATCTATCTATCTCAAGCCTTCACTGGAAGGTGCTGTGACTCCTTGCATCCCTACAATCCACACAGACACAAGAGCCACAAGCACACATGCTCACAGTTCGCGCCAGGGCCAGGTTTCCCAGAAGCCAACTGACCCACCAGCATGGCTTTGGACTGTGGGAGGAAACTGAAGCGCCTGGAGGCGCCATTTGCTGATGGAAATTCCTTTGGTGAGGAAGCCTGACGTGGCCATCTTGTAGTGGCAGGCACTGATCGTTTATCACAATAGATCAATCACCTAAAGTCTCCTTACAGCTCATTTCACCAACAGCCCCTTACACAGAGCTCAGGGTAGAGCTTCTTACAGCAGAACCTCAGAGTCTGATCTCAGCATCTCAAATCTGGGTCAGAAGGAAACCTACTAACAAGCTGAGCAGAGAGGTTGGAAGCAATCGGTATGAAGGGGGTTTCTCAAAACGCTCTGTCTCCGTTCTGGGCAAGGGGCTCAGTGTGAGACTGTTCCCATCTGGGAATGATCCCATGATCCTGTGGAATCATGTCATGATGATGTAATCAAGCTTTAGAGGCTGAGTTGCCCGCTGTTTGTTGAAACTGACGTTCTTTACCATTTACAAACGGAGCTAGCACAATAACAGGAGGGACACACCACCACAGAAACATTACCGTTCACTAAACTCCCAACAGCCAGAGAGATGGAATATTGTGCTAAAGCTCTGCTCCTTGTGAGATTTCTCACAATGAAGGCGCACTTAATGACATTGTTCATGGTTGTGCCGGTGATGTTGCCAACTGCGTTCTGAAATGAAAGAGAGACAATACTCATGAGGATTTATCAACGTCACTTTGAACTCCTTGTCAAAACACAGGTCTTTCGCAGATATCCTGACTGTACACGGAGAAGACAGTGTTTGTGAAAGTAGTTGAGATTTAATCATTTCCTTTTTTCATAGTGTAGCTTTGTTGGAAGGAAAATGCCCAGGAACACCCAGTGACGTAACAATAGTGAAGACAGTGGAATGCAGTAACCGTCCGCCCCAGCTCCCCTGATAATTCCTGTCCAAAATCTCAACTCTCAGAGCTAGCACAACCAGAGCTGGTCTCAACCCAGACTCCACACAGCATAGCTGCCCCATGATCAACCCAGCTGAATTCACAGCACCCCAACACCCACACTTGCCAGCTCACCTCAACCCAAGCCAACACCAGCCTAGCTCAACTCAATTCCCACCCCCCTCACTGTGTTTCTCAACTCAACCCACCTTAACACCAAACTGTGTCAACTCAAGTTAATCCACTCCACCCTAAACCAATAACAAGCCAGCACAGCCCGACATCAACCCAGCTCAATAGATAGCAAACCAGCACGGCCCTACCGTCTACAAAAAGAGAAAAAACCCAAGCTAATGGAAGAGAGATTAAACAAGACCTTATAATAAAGGGCAAGAGAGATCATGGTCCAAAATGCATCTCTAGACATGAGATAAAGGTGAACAAATGAACACTGAGAAATAACTTCAAAGAAGATCATTTTGGAAGAGTGAATCTCTTTAAAGTCCTCTTATCTCTTGATCTAGTTCGTATTCACGAAAGGCTCCTGGGGCACCTTGGCTGTTCCAAAGTTTACCCTCCTTTTTAACAGGCTGGTGAAAAGGACTGAGAAATTCTTGATCGTTTTTTAAGCACCACTGGGCCATTGCAAAGCCCCAGCATTGTCATTCACAGCATTTCTCCTTTTTCCTGTACTGTATATCGATCCATTTCCATCTGCTTCACCTAGAGAGGCTCAAGGATGATTTAACAGAGCTTTGTCTTTACACATCCTGTTGGGAAATCCTCAAGTTGCACCCATCCTTCAAGAGGAAATTTCTCATGTCCATCAAGGGAACAAATGAGAGGAGAGAACACAAGTGTTCATGAGACGCGGGGCAACAAAATGGGGGCTGGGACCTGCCTGCAAAAAAGCCAGATTTCTAGTGGCTTGCCTGACTTTCATGCCTCCTCTTCTTTCCACCGGTAGATTGCTGGTGCGCGTGACGGCTCATACATGCTTCATGCTTCACTGACATAGTTGATGCTGTGGTTTCCCAATTCGAGCCCGGGAGGCCACTAAGGATGTAGATGTTCCCGCAACCAACACCTAAACGTCCATCTTTCAAAACACCGTGCCGTGTGGCATGAAGAAAGAGATTCTCACGTCGCCGTGGCGATCGGCCGTGTTAACATCCGGGACGGGTCAGTGTTTCACGCTCTGTCGGCTTCATGTCTGCCTTCCTGTTACTACTTGGATAATAGCTCAAAAAACAGAACCTCTGAAACCCCTAATCCCCATCCCCTCAACCTCCCAGCACTGCCTCCAGTACAGACCCCTCCCCCAGATAAAGACACTTACATTGAGAATTTGTGGACTCAGGCTGGATCCATTACTCGAGTAGAGTGCGCGATAGAACAGTGTATCGCTTGCGTTCTGAGCACACACAAAGGCATCTCCCTGTGGACACAAGGCAAAGCCAGGCATGTCTACTGTCACACTGACGATAAGACAATCTCTAAGTGACAAATTTATTATTTGCTTATGGAGTTATATTTACAAAAAGATCAGCTGCGAGAAGGCAACAGCAAACAAGTGACTGATGGGATCAGGGATCTACAGGACCAGGGCTGGAGACTCCTGTACTGACTGGATCAGGGCTGTACAGGACCAGGGTTGGAGACTCCTGTACTGACTGGATCAGGGCTGTACAGGGCCAGGGTTGGAGACCCCTGTACTGACTGGATCAGGGTCTTACAGGACCAGGGCTGGAGATCCCTGTACTGACTGGATTGGGGATCTACAGGACCAGGGCTGGAGACTCCTGTACTGAGTGGATCAGGGTCTTACAGG